CCCTTTCAGGAAAAACTGACTCAGGGAGAAACAGCTGATGTAAAAAATGTATTAACAGATAGATTCTCCTCCCCTTCTGTGCTCCGGGGCCAAGAACTCCAGGCAAGGAGCCTGGAGAGCTGGCAGGGAGGGGTGGCAAAAGGCCTTGGCCAAAGGGGCATCGCCATCGGGAAGGATGGAGAACAGCAGAGGAGCGAGACTGGAGAGGGTCTTGTGCAGCCGGATCCCTCATGGGCACGTTCCCCACCAGGAGCAGCATGCCAGCAGCGACTGAGAACAGCTTCAAGGCTGACCTGCTGCACAACTCGGTAAGAGCCCGGGTGACTCCGTGGCCTCCCCCCCAAGAGCTTCCGAGCCCCCTCCTCCAGGTGCCCATCGGCAGCACACCCAGCCTCCTGCAGACCAGCCTGGCTATGAGCTGCAAGGTGCTGTGCTCTGCATCAGAACAGACTGGTGCCTCCCCCTACCCCAAGCTGCCCCCGAAAGCCGGGCTGTCCCGGTTCCCCAACCAGGGCAGACCCAGAAAGGCACAGACGGTGGGACAAGGCTAGCCCAGGAGGCGATGGCATCCTCCCGGCAGCAGCCGTTGCCTCTTTCCAGGCAGAGACCCTGGAGAGAAAGAGAAAGAAAGAGAGAGCAGGAGGAGCCCCCACCGTACCCGCTGCCCCACCGTACCTGCGTCTGTATCCTGTTGAGACCCCTGAACCACAGGATCTGCCCGCGCCGCAGCTCCATTTCAGCATGGTCGATCTCATCCACGTCTTCGGGCAGCTCCTCCTCTGGGATCTCCTCCTTGGTGATGCCGTGCCCAGCTTCCTTCAGGAACTTCAGGTGGCTGGTTGGGACAGTGCAGATCAGCTGGGGAGAGGCAGGGAGAGAACGGCTCCTTAGCCTGCAGGCTATGGCAGCGTGGAGCCCACCGCCAGCTTTGACCCATTCCTGCAGCGAGATGCCAGGACTCAGCTGAGGGACACCGGGATGCAGCCGAGATGGGCCACCAGTGGATGTGACCCACTGCAAGCAGGGTGGGAACGAGGAGTCCGTTAGCGACCTCCTCTCCTCACTGCTGGTGTGGTACTGGGATCATGGAATCCCAGAATGGCAGGAGTTGGAAGGGCTCAGCCAGAGCAGGGGGCACAGGACAGCATCCAGCTGGGGGTTGAATATCTCCAGAGAAGGAGACTCCACAGCCCCCCTGGCAGCCTGGGCCAGGGCTTGGGCACCCTCAAAGTCAAGAATTTCTTCCTCACATTCAACTGGAACCTCTTGTGCTTCAGTTTGTGCCCATGGCCCCCTGTCCTGGTGCTGGGCACCACTGAGAAGAGTCTGGCTCCATCCTCATGACACCCACCCTTAAGATATTTATAAGTATTTATAAGATCCTCTCTCAGTCTTCTCTTCTTCAGGCTAAACAAGCCTAGCACCCTCCACCTTTCCTTCTAGGAGAACTGGGATGGAGCATCACCCCTTTCCAAAGCTGCCTTGAATAAATACTACAGAGAACAAGGGCAGGGAGGCAGCAGGAAGGGAGAGGCAGGCTGGGCTGCGAGCATGCCGTGGCGTGGAGGCACCTGGTTTGGTTTTCAGGCTGGCTCTTACCTGGCCCCAGAGGAGCTCTCCCACTCCGATAAAAATACACCAGAACCACTGGCTCAGGGTGAGCCCAGAGCAGCTGAACGGCTTTCCACCAAACTCCACGATGATGATCTACAGCACAGGAGAGAACAAGTCACGCACCGGGGAGCCCCAAGGGCTGCGTGGCACAGCCATAGGATGGGAAGGTCCCCTATGGCCCACACATTTTTTCCTCCCTCTCTGGGATCACGAGAGGAGCAAGGACCTCCCATCTAGGCTAGCAGCTTTACAGGACACCAGAGGCACGCTGGCTGGCAGGCCCTGGCACCTCCCAACACACTCTAGACCCCAATATTGAAACTGTGTGCCACCAAGAAGCTGCTGGAGAAGAATAAGGGGACAGGACAGAGCTGTGGGCAGTGACTGCAGCTGACACAGGTCCTGCCTGTGGCATGGTCCCCTCCCAGCCCCGCTATCTTATTCCCATACCCTTCCCTCAGCCTCACCTGAGCTGCAAACGTCCCCAGCACCACCGTGCAGAAGATAGGGTTGCGGTAGATGGACTCGAAGACGTTCCTCTCCCCGTGGATCTTGCGCGCATTGATCTCGTTGAACAGTTGCATCATGACAAAGGTGTTGAAGACGATGGTGTAGTGCTCGGTTGGTGGGGAGTGCAGCGGAGCGTTCCGGCCGCTGTCGATATCAAAAAACTTCTCCCCTAAGCAGACAAGGGGTTTTGGGGAAGGGACGGGGAAGGGCAGGGGAGAGAGGAGAAGTTGAGATCCTGCTCCTTACTTCTGCTCTGCACTAGTAGAGGTGGAATTAGGATCCCAGGCTCTTGCTGAAGATCCCCTGACCCAGCTGGAGTCCCCCCATGCTAGCCCCACTGAACCCTTATTTCCTTAAAAATGTTGAAAACCTCCTGCCCTGGCTAAAATTGTCTCTGCACCCAGCAAGGTCATGAGCAGACCCAAAATGTCAATGTAAATCCTCTCCCTTAACACCCTTCAGCTTTCCATCCATCAAGTAAGCTCTGTGCTGGCCAACATGGGGCGACAGAGTGACAGCTCAGAACAAGGGTCCCCAGTGCTGGGGGAGAAAGGCAGCTCAGGAGGCAGTGCTGGGACTCTGCCCCTTTCCGCCCCCCCCTGCCCGCCCCAGTGTTTCCTGGGGCCTCACAGCTCACCTGCAAAAAGCAGTGTGAAAATGATAGTTAGCTGGTACACCGCGTGCCCCAGGATGTTCTTCATCATGGTGCGGGAGATGAGCGGCTTGTTGCGGCCGTATGGCTTGCGCAGCAGCAGGGACTCAGACGGGGGCTCTGTGGCCAGGGCTAAGGAGGCGAAGGTGTCCATGATCAGGTTCACCCACAGCATCTGGACAGCCTTCAGGGGAGAGTCCTGCCGAGAGAGGAAGAAGAACATGTCACACCACCAGAACCACCCTTTCTCCTCACTCCCTGTTTCGCAGGAGCTCCCCCTCTCCTCTCGCCAAGCCCCGGGATCCCGTACCTGCGTGATGCAGGCGCCCGTGAAGGCCACGATGACGGCCACGATGTTAACGGTCAGCTGGAACTGCAGGAACTTGGAGATGCTGTCGTAGACGTTGCGTCCCCACATCACCGCCTTGACGATGCTGGTGAAGTTGTCATCCGTCAGGATGATGTCCGAAGCCTCCTTTGCCACATCTGTGCCTGCGATGCCCTTGAGGACCAGGGAGAAAGCGATGCGGTGACTCACGGGGCAAGCTCCACGCTTGCAGTCTGCCCAGCTCTGCTTCTTCCCAGGAACAGCCCCGGGAGAAAATTCCTCTGGAGCCGGCGGAGGCAGTGCCAGTCCTGCGTTGGACAGCCAGTCCTGCTGCAGCAGCACCAACGCGCCCAAGAGAGGGGAGGCTGCAAAGCAGCGAAGCCTTCAAGGACAGACACTGGCTCGGCTCCAGAGCGGGGTTCCGAGTCAGCGGCAGCTTCACAGCCCATCACCGTGAGCGCCCCACGCAGGGGCCACGGCACAGCAAAGCTGGAAAACAGCTTAAAAGTGCAGCTTCTTCCTTATGCCAGGGAACACAGGGATCCCTGGCTGGCCATCTCTGCTGCAAGTGAGGGTTGGGACCCCCAAAGGAGAGAGAATTCAGCAGCCCAAAGCCCCACAGCCTTCCTGGTGCCTTCTGCCCCGTCCGAGGTGGATGGCAGCCCCACAGCACCAAAAGTCACCCGCAGCATCTCAGCCAGACACAGTTTGCTCTGCAGGAGCTGGGCTCACTGCATTTCTCAGCGCCAGCACACAGAGGCGCTCGCTTTGCATCAATTAAATGCACCGAAGTGATGCCGGTAACGAGCAGGTTCCCTGGTGTTTTCCTGGAAAAGCTCTCATGAGATTTCCAAGACCCGTCTCAGATGGGAACCCCCCCGGCTGCTGCAGGGCATGAGCTTTGGAGCAAGCCGGACAGACCAGCCGAGGGCACCCCACGTGCCGTTTCATCCCCGCTCTTTGGAGACCCAAAGGCAGCGCAGCCCTGGTGCCCAGCCCCCAGCAAAGCCCAGTGCCTGGCCAGGGTCTGATCCTGCACCCAGGGGCAGGGAGCCCCGCTCAGGTCCCCAGGGTTTACCTTCTGCTGTTTGTCCTAAAGGCTCTGGAATTGCACTTGGCTATTTAACACCTTCCTAAAAATCCCTGCTCCCCCAGAATTTCTCACTTGCCCAAAGCTCCCTACGTGGGCTCATAAGGCTCCTCCCAGCAGCTGACTCCTGCTCATGTACCTAAACTTAAACAATTCACAGGAAATCCATTAAAACTGACAGGTTTATTTTCTTGCTTCTTTCAGAAAGGGCAAAGAAAAGCAGCAAACCAGGAGATCAGAGTTCTTCACTGGAAATAAAACTCCCCAAGTCAGTGCCAGCACCGCGCTCGGAGCCTGGGCTTCCCGTTACAAACCTGGGTGAAGAACTGCAGGGATAAACCAAGTCACGCTGAGTTACTGGGCTCCCACAGCTCTCCTGGACCCCACAGCTCAGAAACCGGGGCCAGGCAGGACCCTGCTGCTCTGGGTGCTCTGCAAGCACCGTGTCACCTTCAGCAGGGACATGGTCCCTCGGGAGGGTCAGAGGAGCCCAGCCCTAAGCCAGGCTCTCAGAGGATTGCTCCCCATCAATCTTTTGCTAACAGCCCTGTAAAGTTCATCAGAGGTAAATCAAACCTCCAAAAAAGGTTTGGGTTTGTTTTTTTGTTTTTTTTTTTTTCTTTTTAAGCCAGCCTGTAGATTTGGAGCAGAGTTTCATCAGTCAAGAAGTAATTTAAGTGTTGAGAATAACCAAGTGTGCCGTTGGTTTCTCACCACCGGAGAAGCAAAGGCCACGCCCGGGGAAAACCCACTGCCCGTCCGTACCATGGCAAACCCAACGTCGGCTTTCTTCAACGCTGGGCCATCGTTGGTCCCATCCCCAGTCACAGCCACCACCTGCCTCTGGTCACCAACGGTGCTGTCAATAATTCCTGAAATGGGGAGAAGCAGTTCAGAGAAAATAAGCCCCAAGGGCAGGCTCCCAGCAGACAATATGCTGCAAAAGCACCCAGGCAGAGCAGAACAAGAGACACTTTGGTGAGAGGCAGCAGCCCCAGCAGGCGCTCACCTTTCACGAGTGTGTGCTTGTCTGTCGGGGAAGAGGGGGCCAGCACACGCAATCTTATCCAGCTGCTCCTGCTCCACCTGCAGGACAAGGCACACGTAAGCAAGGGTAGGGACCCCCCTGAAACCTGCCCCACCGGAGAGCAAACCCCAACCGGGGCAGCGCCTTCGCCTCCAAGCACCCAGACACCCCTGTGGCTGCGCTGGCTGAGGATCCCAGCAAGCAGAGGGACCAGCTGTGTTTATCCAAGGATAGGAGGAAAACCCAGTGGGATTCAGCGCCTTACACCGCTGGGGCTGTTGGAGAGGCCACCCACACCCGCTGCGGAGCAGGACCCGGGGGCTGCTCTCCCACCTCTCCCTTCTCATTGCGGATGAGCCGGTTGAACTCCTTCCCCTCCAGGCACAAGAAGTCCTCCCCTGGCAGCAGGATGCCACACTTGGTGGCGATGGCACGGGCGGTGTTGATATTGTCCCCTGTCACCATCCGGACGGTGATCCCTGCACGCTGGCACTTCAGGATGGCGTCCGGCACCTGGAGGACAGGGACAGAGTTGGAGGAGGACAAGGCAGGGCAGCGCAGGGCAGGGCGCTCAGGTTTGGCACTGGGTATCCCGGGAGCCAGGCGGCTCCTCTCCCATCCTCCCTAAAAAGATCTGGGGTGCGAACCAGCAGCCCACCTGTGTCCATAGAATCATAGAATTGTTTAGGTTGGAAAAGCCCTTTAAGCTCATCAAGCCCAACCGTTCCCCTAACCCTGCCATCCCACCACTAAACCCTATCCCTAAGCACCTCGTCTGCCCAGCTTTTAAATCCCCCCAGGGATGGGGACTCGACCCCTTCCCTGGGCAGCCCGTTCCAATCCACCAGTGGAGCTTGGTACTCACAGCGGGGACAAAATGCTGAACTGAAAACTCCCCGCCCAGAACCACCTCAGCCGTTCATCCCTGGGATGCAGGGGGAAGCCACCAGGGACCGGAGAGGATGCCTGCCCCTGCTGCCTGCTCCTGCACTGCAACCTCCTGCCCTCACCACGGCTCCAGTCAGACTCGCATGCGTGTCCGGAGCAGCCCCTCCAGCACAGACAGCACAAGATCTTCCAGCCCCTGCCCCAAGGGAAAGGCAACCTCACTGCCTCCTCCCAATCACGCTGCCGTGCCGGGCGCCAAGGCACGGTCCAGTGATCCATCACAACGGGGGCATTTTGTCCGCCCCCTCGCGCTGCTCCAGCAGCACGTTGCTGCACTAATGGGTTTATCTATTACGGAGCGGTGGGGGAAGAGGATGTTAGTGAGAAATTAGCAAATTGAATCAATGACCTCCAGAGCCGGTGCAGATGGGGCATCTGTAATGCAATTCCCAGACCCAGATACTTGAACATCTAATCAGGAAAGAGGCAAGCAAGGCAGGAGCACAGGGGCAAGCTCCAAAATGTAATCAAGAGGCAGGTACTGGAGGGCTTATTGCATTAGCCCAGCTGCCTGCCTGTCACCCCTACGGCAGAGGGGGACAGCAAGCTGAGGAACCAGCTAGATCAGCCCTGCCCCTTTCCAACACCCCTCTGTCACCCCTGCCTGGTGCCTCCATGCACCTTTGAACTGCATGTGGAACCAGCCTGGCTTGTGCACGGACCCGACAGCAGCTGGGGGGAAAGCCTGGGTGGGGACAGCCTGCCCCCACCAGGTCATTTTGTCCAGGTATAGAATCATCTAGGTTGGAAAAACCCTTTAAGCTCATCAAGTCCAACCTTTAACCTAACCTTGCCATCCCACCCCTAAACCCTGTCCCTAAGCACCTCATCTATCCTTTTAAATACCCCCAGGGATGGGGACTCGACTACCTCCCTGGGCAGCCCATTCCAGAGCCTGACAGCCCTTTTGGTGAAGAAATTTTTCCTTATGTCCAACCTAAACCTGCCCTGGCGCAACTTCAGACCATTTCCCCTCATCCTATCATCCATTACCAGGGAGAAGAGCCCGACCCCCACCTCACTACAGCCTCCTCTCAGGCAGTTGTAGAGGGCAATAAGGGCTCCCCTCAGCCTCCTCTTCTCCAGACTAAACGACCCCAGCTCCCTCAGCCGCTCCTCGTAAGCCTTGGGCTCCAGACCCCTCACCAACTTTGTGGCTCTCCTCTGGACATGTTCCAGCAATGCAACGTTTTTCTTGTAGTGAGGGGCCCAAAACTGAACACAGTATTCGAGGGGCGGCCTCACTGAGTACAGGGCCAATGGGAGAGAAATGCTGGCAGCAGGAAGCTGGTAGCATGGGGCACTTCACGGATGGATGCAGAGGAGCTGCTTGTGCTTTCTTAAGGGGCTTGTGGTCCTGGTGCAGCAGGGAAAGGGGCTCCTGGCCCAAGAATGGGGCTGGGGTGGAGGACAGCCAGGGCAGAGTTGGGATTCAGTACCTCTGGCCGCACAGGGTCCTCTATCCCAACCACAGCGATGCAGGTCAGGTCAGACAGGATCTCGTTCTCGCTGTCCCAGTCCGGCTCAGCGTCAGCGGGGAAGTCACGGAAGGCCAGGCAGATGGTCCGCAGCCCGTGGCAGGCCATGGGCTCTATCACCTTCTTCACCATCTCATCCCGGTCCTTCACCTTGAACACCCGAGGGTCTCCGTTCTTGTCCAGGATCTTGGTGCACCTAACGCAGGACAGGGATGGAGGGTGAGGGCACCGGTGGTGGCACATGATGCCAACTCCCCCTGTCACCTAAGTTAATTTGCAAAATGGGGGCATCCCCCTTACCCACAGCTCCCTACAGCTTTGCCAAAGCCACCCTAAGAGAGTGTTGCATGGCAGCACTTCCCAACAGTCACCTCCCTGCTCCATGGTGGCTGGGCACCCTCCACCCCGCAGCCCTCCCGCACAGCTCCGCAGTGCATCGAGAGCCCAAAGCCCACGGGACAGGGAGAGGACCGGCGTAGCAAGGGAGGGCGGTTACTTGCGGAGGATGATCTCGGAGGCTCCCTTGCTGTACATGCGGAAGCTGCCGTTGCTGTTCTTCAGCACCGTGCTCATGGACTTGCGCACCGAGTTGAAGGTGTAGACCTTGTAGAGCTTCTCCTCTGGCACTTCATTCCGCACAGCCTGGTAATCCTGCTTCAAGTCCAACACAAAACCCAGCAGGGCGCACTCGGTCTTGTTCCCCACCTGCCGGGGTAGGCCCCCTTCCTTCTCGGGTGGCTGGAAAGGAAAGAGGAAAGGAAAAGCAATGCCAAACCTGGGTATGACAGGATGTGAGCTGCAGGGGTGGCCAATGCCAGGAAGGCCAGAGGACACGAGGTTGTGGTTGTCCAACTCACCAGGATCTTGGATGTGTAGGCAGAGTTGATGGCAACACCATTGACTATGAGGTCCAGGATCTTGGGCAGGATGGCTTCAGGGTCAGGGATCTGGCGGTAGTGGGTATCCCCCACGTAGGCCTGCACCACAGTCATGCGGTTCATGGTGAGCGTGCCCGTCTTGTCTGAGCAGATGGCGGTGGCATTGCCCATGGTCTCACACGCGTCCAGGTGTCTCACAAGGTTGTTGTCCTTCATCATTTTCTGCAACAGGCACCATGACCAGGAAGGTCAGAACCAAAAGCGTGAATTTCCCCATCGTGCCCCCAGCAACCCCGCTCTGTCGTGATCTCACCTTCACAGAGTAAGCCAGGGAGATGGTGACCGCCAGTGGGAGCCCTTCAGGCACTGCCACCACCAACACTGTGACACCGATGATGAAGAATTTGACAAAGTACTGGATGTAAATGGGGGTGCACTCTGCCAGCCAGGGCCGCCCCTGCACCCCAAATGTGTCAATCACGAAGTACAGCACCAAGATGATGACTGTGATGGCCGACATGATCAGCCCTGAGGGAAGAGGAAGAGTGGAAGGTGAGGGGACACAGGGGAAGGGGACAGCCCCTTCTCCCCGTGCTACTTCCAGCAAGAGCTCTGGGGTGACAGCTCATGTTGGGCCACCGCCACTCACCCGCCTTCCCGATCTGGACTGCCAGGCGTGTGAGCTTCCCTTGCAGCACAGACTTCTCCTTCTTGGGCACCTTCACCTTCTTCTTCTCCTTCTCCTCATTTTCCACCCCTTCCTGGCTCTTCAGGGGCTGGATCTCTAAGGCCACACCATCCTGAGTTTTAGCTACAGCCCAGGGCAAAATAAGACACCACGTGTGAATAGGAGAGAGACCGGGAAAACCTGTAGGACACCACTGAGAAAGATGGTGGTGGGAGAGAGAGAGAGAGAGAGAAAACCCAGAACAAGAACCGTTCCCGACGACACACGCATCCGAGCACATGGAAACCTTGTGTCCCGGGGCCCTGCCACCTCTCTACGGGGCAGTTTTCTGCCGTCTACCCCAGCCCCATGGATAAAGGGTCCTCAGAGCTGACCCCTGCACCAGTCACACCTCTAAGTCAGCGCTGGCCAGGCTTTGGGGTGGAGGCAGGTCTTCCCCAGCCTCGCCTGCCCTCTGCTTTACACCTTGCAGCAGATGGGGAGCACTTTGGGCTGACCCCAGCGAGGCTCCGGTGTGTCCCTCCCCATCCCCTGATGAGCATCCCTGCTCCGTGCCCCACTCCCACTCGGTGCCACCTCTGCAGCGCCCTGGGGGTAGCTCAGCAGGGGTCACTGGCCAGGCGGTGAGATGGAAGGGGATGGTTAGAAATTCGGATGGAATTTGAAGAGGAGTGAGCCAGCTCCTTGAATCCCAGCCCTGAGCCATCCACCACGTTTTTAGGACCCGAGACAGCCAGGCTTTCAGCTGCTATAATCGGTCTAAATCCAGCTGAAGGTCTGCACCGGGGAGACCCAGGTCAGCTGGAAGTTTTGGAGAGGGATAGGAAGGGAAGAGGGTTCGAGGGCTCGAGGCCCCCCGGAGCTCACGGCAGCTCCACATCGGACCCCTCCACGGTTACAACAGACCCGACACGGACAAAACAAGCACCCGGACACAGTCTGACGGGAAGGAGGGAAACTCAAAACTGCTGAGAGGAGAGAGAAAGAGAGAGAGGTGGAGAGAGAGGTGCAGAAATGGGCTTCCTCCACAGCCTGCAAAGAACAGTGTGAGAAACACTGGCGAGGAGACGCTCACGGAGTCGAGGCCATGGGGGGAGAGGGTGCAACCGTCGCGTTGGCCAGGCCCCATGGGACATTTCATCCCAGGAATGGTGAAGGGACCCACGTCTCTCCCCCAGCCATGCCCAAACACAAACCCTGTGGAGGGACAGGGTGCACAAGGGCTTCAGAGCCACCAGCTCACACCCACACCTCACGTCAACATGTATGAGATTTGCCCTGAGAAAGGGATGTTCTGCCAATGGTCTGGGCTTCTGGAAGAGTCCTGTCCTCCCTGCCCAAAGGCTTGCCCCACGCAGGGGCAAGGTGGCCATAGGCGAAGCTGGCTAGCCCCATCCCAGCTAGGCACAGCCCCGTGGTGGGCTACCAGAGAGCACCGCGATGCCACGCTGGGGCCGCTGGCCACGGGACTGTTGCACCCTCTCCCAGGACAACGAGGCGAGAGTCCCGCCGGAGCAGCAAAGAGCACAGACTGATGAGAAGAAGGAAGGAAGGAAGGAAGGAGGAATGCTCGGTAGTTAGTGTGGTGCTGGTTCAAAGGATGGAGAGGCTGGTTACCTTTGTTGCGATTTTCAGGGGCTCCGGTTTTTTTACCTGTTCAAAGAGAAAAAGGGTGGAGGGCTGAGCAACACGGACCCACGTATCAATGTCCAGCTGGCGGGACAGCCTGGGGTCGGCCCTGCTCCGAGGGGCCGCGCACCGCTCCAGCAGCATCCACGCGCAGGGCTCAGCACCCTGCAGGCACCAGGCGTGCCTTGGTCCACAGCTCACAGCACCAGGGAGGCTCTGGAGCTCCCCGACTCCCCCAGGCACCCCATCCCCAAGGCTTCAGACTTCCCCGCCTGCAAAGCACCCGCTACAACCCCTGCCAGTGCTTCAAAGGGTGCCAGTGGTGTCTGGGACCCTCGGAGAGAAGGAGCCACAACCTCCACACAGCACGTATGGAGCACGGGTGCTCCCTGCCTCCTGCTGCCGTTGGGCGCAAGCGGATCTGCCCAGGAGGCACAGACTCGTCCCCCGCCGAGGGCAGCACTATCCCTGTAGCAGGGGGCTCTGCCCCCCCTGTCTGCGGTGGGCAAGGTCCCCGCGCAGGGGTCCCCGATGTGTCCCCAACATGGGGAGCACAGGGCTGCTGCAATCTAAGCCAGCCTTGTGCGATAAGGGGTTTATAAACCTTCCTCCTGTCACCCCCCAGCACCACGGTGGGGGATAAGCCGGTGAAGCCTCCCTGCCCCACTTTGCTCCCAAATCGAGGGCTGGAAGGCCCAGGGCACAGAGCTGGGTTTGTTCTGGGGCTGGAAGACAGAGTTTTGAGGCTGGGAAAGCACCGAGCACAGTGCCTGGGCACCTGGCGAGCTCCTGCTCGGTGCCAACAGCAGCGCCGTTCCCATGTCTCACCCCGTACTCCCACCTCCAAGCTGGCAGCTAAGCCCCAAGAGCTCCACAGCTGCCGAACCCCAGCGATGCCAGCCAGACGCCTGCCCTGGGTGAGCAGAGCTGGAGAAACCCAGCGCACACGCGGCCCAGAGCCAAAACGGCTGCCAGGAGAGGCCCGGCAAGCCTCCCCCCGCATGGCATCGCCTCCCGGGAAGGGCTCCCCGGCACAGGGACGCCTGTGCAGCCGGCGATGCCAGCCGGCAGCTCCCTCCTGCCAGCTCCTTGCACCTCATGGCTGCTCCCAGTGAGCCCAGAGCTGCTGAACAGGGATGCGGGGACACAGGGGGAGAGCAGGAGCTTCCCAAGCCCGGCTTGCACCGATATTTTGCTTTAAAGCTGGTATTGCGGCTGGCACAGAGCAGGGGAATAAGCAGTAAGATGTGAGAGCAGAGGCAGGAAAGCATTCGAGTCCCAGCACAATCAGGAGCAGCTCAGCCCACCTAGCTG